CTGATCACTGCGTCCTTATCTAGGATGGCAAGAAACTGGAAACAACCTGAATGCCCAACGTGAGGATTTCCAAGACTACAGTCGGGAGACTATGAAGCAACCTGGACTGTTCGACACCAGGTGAGGCTGGAATAGAACATGATGACATGGAGCTGTGTGTGTGACGCAGACAGGGGCACGCGGCCCCGTGAGATGCCTTGCGGAGGCCTCTACAATTGCCACGCAGTTCAAGAAGTTCATTAAATAAAACCTGAAGAGGCAAAGGGACCGCTTGTTCTCAGCAGGAAAAGTGAAAACACACCACACACAGTGTGTGTGTATACGTAACACTCGACTTTTGCCTTTGTCTGCATGAATTACAAACAGTAGAAGCAGAAAAGGCATTTGCATTTGGCCCTGGCGGTCAGGCCCTGGGGTCCGAGGACAGAGCGCAGGTCAAATAAGGGCAATTCTCTATCAGAGTGATCCAGCGACAACGGGCCCCTGTGGGAGGTGGGGAGTCCCCTGTCAGAGGAGGAACTCAATAAAGGCCAAAGGAAGAGAAGACGACCCGGCCAGGGGAGCCTGCTAGGCACAGGCGCAGGGACCAAGCAGGCCTCTCCACATCTCCACACGGGACTTGCTTTGCCATCTTGGGTCGAATGGCCTCCCGTCCTGGTTTGCCTGGGACAGACCTGGGGTATACCTGTTGTTCTGGCAAAATTCCTAATAACCTCTCCTTCTCTCTTAAAAGTTCCCGATTTGGAGCATAAGTCATACGTTCACCCCCTGCCTGGGAGGCGTCCGTGGCTGAGGAAGGGCCTCGAGGCAGGCTGGCACAGCGCAGACGTCCATGCTCGCCTCTCTCCCAGAAACAGGCCGCGCGTTAGGCCGGGACCCTCATTCCGCCCCTTACGAGCAGGGGAGCCGAGGCTCGGACGTGCCCGAGCCCTGAGACGGCCGAGGCGGGGCTCTCCTCCTGCGAGCACGGGCTGCCTGCCATGCTCTGAGGGGCTGTAGCTCCTCACTGTTCACCCCCCTGGGAATCAGATCCAGGCCACGGCTCCCTCTGCCCGCAGATGAACCGGGCGCTTGTGCGGGAAGAAGGCTGGAGCTGCAGACCTCGTCTGAGCGGGTTCACTCAGCACACCAGGGGAGCTCAGATGCCGTGTGGGACCGGGGTTGGGGGGGCAGTGAGAACAAGCAAGGGCGCCCCTCCCGTACACCCCCTCCAGCTCCCTTCCTCTGGAAGCCAAAGGGTAAATCCCGACTGTGCTAATAACATAAAATTGACCGTCGCAGCCATTTTTGAGTGCAGCTCAGTGGCAGCAGGCACAGGCACAGTGCCGGACAACTGTCACCAGCATCCACAGGATGCTCTTCATCTCGAGAACCGACACTCCGTCCCCATGAAGCAACTTCACCCCACGCCCCCAGCCCCTGGCACCTGCAGTCTACTGTCTGTCTCAAGGATTTGACTTCTCAAGGGACCTTGTGTAAGTGGAATCATAGCATCCTGGTCCTCTGTGACTGGTTTATTTCGCCTAATGTCTCCAAGGTTCACGCACGTTGTAGCAGGTGTCAGAAGCTCCTTCCTTCTTAAGGCTGAATCATGAGCACTAGCCATGGGGCGTGCGTGCCACATGGCGATCATCCGTTGTCCATCCATCCATCACACCTGGGCTGTCTCTACCTCTGGGTTGTGAGTGGCGCTGCCATGAACACGGCTGGGCTCGCATCTCTTCCACCTCCAGCTCATTCTGCGGAGTGCAGGCCCACAAGTGGAACTGCTGATCACACGTGATTCTATTTTTTACTTTTTGAGGAACCTCCACACTGTTTTCCACAGCAGCTGCATCATTTTACATTCCCACCAACAGGGCACAAGGGCTCCAAGTTCCCCACATCCTCACCCACGTTTCTTATTTTCTGGTTTTTAATAAGAGCCATCCTAAAGGTGTGAAATGGTATCTTGTTGTGGTTTTGATTTGCATTTCCCTGTGTCAAAGTGCGACTTTGCACTAGAAACAGGCCTGACACAACCAAAGAAAGATTATTAATATAATTAAAAAAAAAAAAAGGTAAGAAGTGCTAGTGTCCTCCAACGCTGTGGGCTGGAAGCAGTGTTTCCCTGACATCCCTGTGACAGGAGCCCAGGACTCCTGCTCGCTTGGTGAGAACAGACACGGATGTTACCAGCATCCACATTCCTCACCCAAGCGAGTATTAACGGTCCCCTGGAAAAATCGCAGCCCGGAAGTTGGGGAGAGCGAGCTTAAAAAACCTGCTAAGACGGCTACAGGTGTTTACTGTAAAAGTCACTCTGAACGGGGAAACTGCTAAATAGGGCCTCGTACTTGCTCCAGCTGCTAGAACTGGCCCAGGACCCGCAGGCCGCCACCTGCACAGTCACACGCGCCCGCTGAGCCAGGCCCACGTCGCGGCCACAGCCCTGCCCCCTGAACTCTGCAAGTTCATGGAAACAGAACAGACACAAAACGCCGTGCAAAACAACCTGTCTGTGCTCCGCCTGGAAACAACCCAAGGGGGGAACACAAATTAAACAGAATTGGCTGTGAGTTGACGACGGCTGCAACCAGGTGAGGGGAGCACAGCGGTTCACTGTATTATTCTGTTTCTCTACTTTCTCCACCTAAAAAGGAAAACTTCTCTGAGGAGGTAAGGTCCGGCCTGTAGTTTCACACTCTTCCAGCAGCCCCGTGGGACAGGCAGCCAGCAGGTGAGAGCAATGAGACAGGAACACAGCGAGGCCTCAGCTCAGACGAGTCCAGACAGCACCGGATGACCCGCTGTACCCCAGTTCCCAGGCCTCGCCACACTCCCAGCTCCTGCACAGACGAAGACAGCGATGACGCCCAGGACCCAGCGGGGGGCCGGGTGCCCCCGGCAAGGCGTGGCCTCCCCCTCGCCTTCCCAGCCGAGCACCCTCCCGCCTCGTGCTCCTGACTGCCCTCTGTCCCGGCCGGCTCTGCCCCAGTGCACACGTGGACGACGGTCACCTCTCGGCCACACATGTCACTGGTCCTGCAAAACTCCGGGAGCACCGCAGCCTGCAGCCTCGGAACCGACAGGCTAGGATCCTGGATTCACGAACCCGCTGCCTGATGTCAGTGCTGCCCACGTACCACTGGGCAAGTGAGGAAAGCTTCCCGGGAGCAAAGGCCCTGTTCTGGAACGCTCTGAGGAAACGGAGCTCACCAGGCCCGTCCGCAGCGGTGGAGGGCCCACTCCAGCTGCAAACATCAGGATGAGTCATAAGTCGAGCCACAAGCATGGCTGGGGGGATGGACGAGAGCTGGGCGTGTGAGGGTCCAGTGTCGAACTGCCCGCCTGTGCCAGGTGGCCTCCAGTGCACACCTGCTGGGGGGTCAGAGGGCTCCCCTCCAGGCAGGGAGCAGGAAGGTCTGGGAAGCCACCCTCAGCAAGGATGGGGCAGCCTCGGGCCTCCCACTAGGAGAACCCACGGGAACGGCACCCAGCGTCAGCATCCCCACCGCCAGGCAGCGAGGAGGCAGCTGGCGACAGCAGTCAAGCCACTGCATCCCACCCTATTCCTCCGGGACAGAAAACCCTCAAAACTGAGACAAATCATCAGATGACAACACTGTACGACCAAGGCTGAGATGTCTGGTGCGACGCCTGCCTCATTCTCGAGACTTCCAGCCCACAGATGAAACGCCCAAGTCCGCAGGGGACACAAGCGCAGCACCAGGCCGCTCACCCCGTCCTGCTCCTGCCCCGTCCCCACAGCCACTGGGAACCCTGCTTCCACCAGGTGCCTCTGCGCATGGCCAGGTCCTCCCTCCCCTGCAGTCAACGTCCGCCTCTCCCGGACCAGACCCACTGGCCACACACACAGTACGGTCTGCCCTCTAACCCGTGAGCCACCTCCAGCCAGCCCCGACCCTTCTGCTCCTCTTTAAGGAAAGAGTCCTTGAAAGAACAGTCAGGAGCCTCCGGTCTCCAGTGTCTCATGCCCACAGGCCCCTCCGCCAGCTCCAGGTGGGCATCCACCACCCAGAGCGCACAGCAGCTCTGGTCAAGGCCACCAGCACTCACCGCCTTGTCAAAGCCAGTGGCAATGCCATCCTCACCCTCCCCTCCCCTGAGAGTGGCCAAGACCTTCATCTCCAGGATGGTCCCTGACACAAGAGGTGCCATCTCCACATGCTGCCTAAGAGGCCATTCAAACCCCCAAACCCCGTCTCAGAGCACGGGCCCTTGCAAAGTCAGCTCATACCATCTAACTCACAGCCTACCGAGAGGGAGAAAAAGCGGAAAATGGTTCCAACTACTTACTGCACCGTGCACGACTGGGCCCTGTCATCCTCTGCCCTCACCTGCGTGCCCTCTCCCACAAGCTCGCTCAGCTCCAGCCACAGGCCCTTCTTTCCATCCCTCGCACATGACGAACTCATTCCTGCCTCAGGGCCTTTGCAAATGCTGCTCTCCCTGCCTGGAGCTTCGTTCCCCAGACCCCCACATGGCTGCCTCTTCACCAGCACTCGGGCCTCAGCCCACAGGTCCCCTCCTCGGAACACCCTTCCTACCACCCTTCCTGAGTGGAGGAGCGCCTCTCCCCTCCTCTGTTGCTCAGGAGGCTGATGCCGCTTTTGGTTAAACGCCAGTGGCACAAGGGCCAGGCCTACTGCCTTGTCCACTCTTACCTCCCGGGCCTGGGGCAGGGCCTGGCCACGGTCAGAGGCCCACGTCCCACTGGGGCGTCCCAGGGAGTGGACGGAGGGAGACAGACATGCCTCAGGGACCCCCGGGTCGAGGCCAGCCCCTCCTCTGGGTGTCAATCACCTTGGCCTCCTGTCACCACACTCCACAGTCTGTTTTACAGTTCACTGTCGCCGCTCCGTGGGGACTGGGCTCGACCTTGACCTTGACCGCCTCCCCATCCCGAGCCTCCCAGGGGGCCGGCAAAGCAAGGCCGGGAGAGTCGAAGCTGACTAAAGGACGGACGCGGCAGGGGACGCAGCCCCTGGCCCACTCACCCAGAAGACGATGTTGTAACTGAAGAGCAGGTACTTGTACCAGCAGCTGACCTCGGCGCTGGAGTATCGGTAATAGTGCATCTTCCGAGACGCGGCACCTGCGGGGAAGAGTGGGGTGAGACCGCCGCTCGCCAGGCACCCGCCCCACTGGTGCCGAGGGGAGGGCACAGGCACGGCTCGCCAGATGCCGGTTCCGGGTCGCTGCTGTGTCCCCGCACGGCCCCGGCACAGGTTCCTCCCCACGCCAGCTGCAGGCGGGCTCACGTCTGGCTAAGCCGGCTTCCCAGACAGCAGGACAAGAACTGCCCTAGAAAGGGAGTTGCTCAAGCACCTCCCAAACACCAGCGCGCCTGCCTGGACCCTCCCAGACACCATCTCCGCCCCCTCCTCTGGGTGTGGACCTCTCCACGCTAGGTGCAGGGAGGTCACGCGCCTCGCCCAAGGTCAGGACAGAAACAACAGGGCCCAGGGTCTGAACCGGAAGGCGGCTCCACATCCACGCTCCTTCCACCCACCGCCACCCGCGCCCAGCAGCAGGGGAGGAGGGCACCAAACGCAGCAATGGGCCTGGACCATGGAGGGCCACGCGAGGGAGGAGGCAGGAAAGGACGGCGGTGCAGGCTGTGCTCACGCGCCGGCCGCGTAAGCGTGGAGAACGCAGAGCCGACGGCAGGAGAAGGGGCGCCGAGTGTGTCCTCCGAGGGGCACCCAGCTGCCTCAGCACTGCCTCCCCCATCCACCCCGGGCTCCCCGGGCCTCACCCCACGGAGACCCACGAACCCTCGGGAGCAACTCTGCTTTCACAGACGTCAAGGTCCAAACCCACACCTGCCGGTCTCAACAAGCAGGACGTGACCCGAGCCCTCACTCCCGGGAACGTCAATACTCGGGGCGACGCCAGCCGGATCCACACCAGGGAACGGCCAGGAAGCCACGCTGACCCCCCACGGCACGGGGGCCGCGCTCAGACGCCCACCCTCACACGCCTGCCACACAGCCCCGAGCACGCGCACAGCATCACCCCACGTGTGGGGGCCAGGATAACCAGTGAGGCCCGGGCGGGGGCCCAGTGACGCTTCTTCCCCGTCCCACCACAGGAGAGGGAAGGGTGAAGGCGCACCTCCCAGTCCTCCTCACCCACTCGTCCTGCCCCCACGGGAAGACGGGGCTCTCACTGGCCAGCGAGGCTGGGGACCTCGAGCGTCCCTGCCTGGCCGTCGTCACCTAAGGGGTGGCAGAAAGGCTGCCCTCGCCCGTGGGCTGCGCTCTGCTGCGGCCCGTGGGCGGAGAAGCAGGTCCCGAGCTTCAGCGTCACCAGGCGATTCCAGTCTCCAGAGGCTCAGCCCCGAGGAAAGTGGAGGAGGAGACGGGAAGGCCAGGCCCCAGCCTAGCCACATCCTCCCACAGCCCCATGGCCTTAGGTCCGGGGGCACAGGGCCAACACTGAGCTGCTGAGGTCCAGCCCACCGCATTCAGAACCTCAAGGAAGGGAAACATTGACGAGTGCCCGAGCCGCCAACCTGAGGAGTTCCCCGCGTTTCCAGAGAACCCCAAGAAGGCAATTAAGGCAGTGGGGCTGAGACCAGAGAGCAGAGCTGACGCAAATTCAGCCAAAATGGCTCCAGAGTGACCGTGTTCCCCGACAACTCGCTTTGCTTGCTAAATGGAGCCACATCACAGGACATTAAAACCGAGCTCTGTCATCTAACACATTCAACCAACACCGAGACCATTCACCCTAAGACGCACACACAGCACCCCGGCTTCCTCACAGAAGACAGACCAGCTTCTCACGAGCACTAATTAACTACCACCGCGGCCGAGAGGCAGCACCAAAAGCCACTGTGCTTATGCACAGAAAACAGTTAGAAAAATTTAATTGCAACACCTCAAACTGTCTCAACCCCAAAACTTATTAAAAGAGAACAGAGCATTTACACAGCAAAGAGGAGACATGTGCTTGTCAAAACATCGACTTCTCAAAACAAGGGGAGAGTTAGTTGTGTAACGGTGTTGAGATAGCTGGTTAGCAATCGATCTGAGAGGAACCAAATTTCTAGAAGCCAAAATGGCTCTGAATGTTAAAGACACGAGGACAGAGTCAGGACGACGTGATCTCCTTCACTTGGAGCCAAACAGGAAAAAACAATCCAAAGGACAGAAATATCAACACGAGACACATAAAAAGTCTTAAAATTCCCATACAATTAAAGTAACACTGAAGTAAAAAAGGAAAACACGAACGAGAAGTTACCTGCAGCTACCGCGATCAGGACAAAGGGGAAACACCGACGATTCGAAAGATTCACATATCATAAGATGACTCCAGTTTCAGACAAATAGACAACGGATACGGACGTCATACTGAAAGGGGAGGACAACACAATTCACAGATGAAAAAATACTCCACGCCACTGGAAAGGAAACTTTCAGTCCAGAGATGCCATTTTACACCTTTTAATTTAACATAATCAGCACGGCTGGGCCGCTGATGGCAGCCCATGGTGGGCCACGCGGCACACGTCGCAGGCAGCACAGTGAACAGTCACTGCCCTTTCGTAGGCAGTACAGCCACAGACACTCAGAACAAAACAAAACAAAGGTCAAACCCTTAATCCAACAAGCTCACGACTAAGCATTTGCCTCAAGAAAATAAAGCAGCAGCAGAAGAACATGGATTAAGTGTGAAATCCGAATATCAGGGTTTGCAATTACGGAACACTCTGTAAGTATGTGGTTAAAGGCCAAAATGGAATATAAAGCATGAAAATGGTTGCATGGAGGGGTGGACTTATCGGTGATTTTCTAAAAAGGTTCCAGGGTAGGGGCCGGCCTGGTGGCGCAGTGGTTAAGTTCACACATTACGCTTCTCGGTGGCCCGGGGTTCACCAGTTTGGATCCTGGGTGCGGACATGGCACTGCTTGGCAAAAGCCATGCTGTGTTAGGCATCTCACATATGAAGTAGAAGAAGATGGGGCATGGATGTTCAGCTCAGGGCCAGCCTTCCTCAGCAAAAAAAAAAAAAAAAAAAAGAGGATTAGCAGTAGTTAGCTCCGGGCTAATCTTCCCCCTCCCAAAAGAAAAAAAGTTCCAGGGTAGCACTCCCATGACCGCCTGTGTATTATAAATGGAAACTGAGGCCACGGCTGGTGGGGAGCCTGCTCCCAGCTGAGGGTGCTGGACCCCATGTGTGACCTCTACTGTCCACAGGGTCACCATCCTCAGGGCTTGTCTACCTTCAGACTGCACTATCCTGTAAGATCCCTTCCTCCTCCCTCGCCCTTGCCCCCGCTTTTCAACTAAACTGTAGCAGATGCTCAACCATAAGACATGTAAACAACGCACAAGCGTGAAAAGGGAACTGGGGACGAGAAACCACAAAACGATGGCGCTCCAGTCTTTCACCACAGCCCACAGGAAGAAACACACCTCAACACGATCAACCCCACGCACACCCGCCAGCACCACGGAGCTGCAAGAAACAGGACGTGGCCTCGTCACAGGCCACGCACTCCAGAGTTGCCGTTGTTTCAGTCTTCCTCAAAATCAGAATCAGCCACCCTAAAAGCTGAGCCGAGGAAACGGCTGAGTCGAGACCCCGGGCCACCCCTCCACCCTCCCCAGGGAGGCTCGCCTTCTAGCTGAGTCCCGAAGGTTTACACCAGCTCTCTCAAATTCTTGCGCGCCACGTGCTTGTATTACTAGTCCCTGGTTCCCCAGTTTCAAGTGCTCTCTATCCCCTTCCTCCCCTGAAGACGAGACTATGACTCTTTCTACCCCCCCAAACTGCCCCCGCTCCTTTCCCCTGTCTGCCCTCCAATTTGCAGGCACACGCCGCATGAGGACATCCTGGTCGCTGACAGACCGCACGCCCGGCGGGGGCCCCCTAAGATTAGAACCGTAGGCCGGGTGTGTCCTGGCTGCACCGGCTGGGTGGGCGTGAGCACACTCTGATGTCCACACGATGACGACATCACCAGCCACGGATTTCTCAGAATGCCGCCCGCAGCTGAGCGGCACAGGGCTGTACTCAAACCACAGCGCCACCGTCACCACGGCCACATGCGCCACGGACGCCAGCGTCACCTTCCTCTCCCTGGGCAGCTTTTTCTTCTCCGGAGTTAGCAATTCTCTCACTTCTGTTGGCTTAGTTTTCTACGAACTTAATCTTCAACCCCGAATTCAATGCCGGCAGTCCCAGTCTCCTCTCAGCAAGTCCATTCACCTCAGATGTCCTATTTCTACTTCTCTTCCGGAAGCATCTCTCCCGCGGCCTCAGTGTGCACAGGTGCACAGACTCCCTCGCCTCCTCTGGGGTACGGCCCACGGGATCCAGTCTCGCTCGCCTCTGTGGAGAAATCCTTCAGGGCAAAAGGCAGGTTTCCCGGACCCTGTATGTCTGAAGAGATCTTCCTTGTACCTGGATTTGGGATAAAAGCTTGGCCGTGTGTGGACGTCTAGGCTGGAATCTGTCTCATGGAGAATGACGGCTCTGCCCTACCGTCTCCCACGCCCCGTGTACCAAAGAACCGGAACCACTCCGGTTCCTGACCTTCGTATGAAACCCGTTTCTCTCTCTGTAAACGCGCAGACCACCCCTTTCTCCCTGCGGACTGAGATCTCCGGGCACTGCTCTGGGTCCACCTTCGTCCACCGGGCCCAACATTTGATAAGCCCTTCCAATATGGAAACCAATATGCTTTTCTTCCAGGAAATTGTTTCTTGATGATTTTCCCACTTACATTTCCTCTGTTCTCTCTCTCTCCAACTCCTGTTAACGAATATGGGAAACCTGGCAGATCCTTTAATTTTCTTACCTCTTCTGCTGTTATCTATTTTCTGGAAGTCTCCTTCAACTTGACCCTCTAATAATTCTATCGCTATTTTTGCTCTGCCCTTATTTTTTAACTCTCAATAATTTTTTGTTTTCTACATGTTCCTTTTTTATAGCATCCTGTTCTTATTTCATGGATACACCCATTTATCCTTTTTTATAGCATCCTGTTCTTATTTCATGGATACAGTATTTCTCTTATCTATCTGAGATGTCTAATTCTTTTCAAAACGTTCTTCTCCCTAAATAGAATATACCTTTCAAGAGGGGTTTTTTTCCTATTTGTTTTGCTTCCTTTCATGTTGGTACTTTCTTCAGACGTCTAGTCCTCCTTGGTAAACCTCATGATTAAGAGCAAATGTCTGGGGCCGGCCCCAGGGCCCAGTGGTTAAGTTCACACGCTCTGCTTTGGCAGCCCAGGGTTTTGCTGGTTCAGATCCTGGGCGCAGACATGGCACCGCTCATCAGGCCATGCTGAGGCAGCGGCCCACATGCCACAACTAGAAGGACCCACAACTATGTACTGGGGGGATTTGGGGAGAAGAAGAGGGAAAAAAAAAGAAGATTGGCAACAGATGTTTAGCTCAGGTGCCAATCTTCAAAAAAGAAGAAAAGAAAAGAGTAAATGCCTAAAAACTAACTGGCAGTGCTGAATCCTCAGAAAAGTGAGTTTCTGTGCAGGGTGACGTGCTGGGAATCCCACTGTCAGCATCTTTAGCTCTTTCCTCTCAGGCTGGTCAGGCTCCCCAGTGAAGTCCCCTTCAATCTCCCGGCTGGAAGGTGAGGGGCTGACTGTCACTGTTGGAGAAGCCAAGTGGGGGCAGGTGGCTGGGGACGGAGGTGGTCTCCGTGTGAACCTCCCACAGCACCTGGAGCCTCCCAGAGCCTTGGCTCTTCCTCCTGCAGAGTGAGTCCCCCACATCCGGTGTGAGAGAATGGAAAATACGCGTTGGTCTCCGTCCAGGTTCCTGGCACAGAGCTCCTAACACGCTCGTAATTTCCTAACTGATAAGAAGGCTGGGGGGGGTCTCTTGCTCTGACGCCGGTCTTTGACCTCTGCTCCTCACACCCTCGGGATCTCCTGGGGAGTGTCTGTGTTCTAACGAGGGGACTCTGGGTGGGTTCTTGCATGGGGGCGGGTCACCAGAAAGACCAAGCCATGATTAGAAATTGGACTTTTCAGCCACCCCCCTCCGTCCCCCGTTCTCTCAGGAAGGGCTGAACATGCAGTGAAAAATCCCAAAAGGATGGGGTTCAGAGAGAACACGTGGAGGTGCCAGGAGAGGCGTGCACCTCCCTGACCTTGCCTTATGCACCGCTTCCATCTGGATGTGCGTCTGCAACCTTTATCACACCTTTCATAAGAAACCAGCAATCCAGTAAGTCTAACGTTTCTCTGACTTCTGTGAGCCACTCTAGCAAATGGATCGAACCTGAGGAGTGCGCCGTGGGAACCTCGGATTTCACAGCCAGGTGGTCAGCAGCACAGCTAACAGCCTGAGCTTGAGACAGGCGTTGGGGGTGGAGGGGGCAGGCAGTCTTACGGGACTGAAGCCTTAACCTGTGGAACCTGACGCATCAGGATTGAGTTAAATTGCAGGGCACCCAGCTGGTGTCTGAGCATCATTAGTTGGGTGGGGAGCTCCCCCACGTTGAGGCTGAGTTACAGAACACCCATTTATCCCACTGAAGGGGAGAGGCAGTCCCCAAGCCTCGCAGAGGGAAAGGCAACTGGGCATCTAACCACGTTGACCACCCTCACACAGTCTGCAGGCAGCCACCTCTGATGCTCTTTCCCTCCCCCAAAGGATGATAACACACTGATACCAACTCCCACCTTCGAAACTGGGTCGCTTATCCATCTATTCTTGGCTTGCACATTTTTTCCTTGCTGTTGCTTTCTTTCCCATTCTGCCTGTCCTCATAGATTGATTCCTTTTTAAAAACTCCCTTCATCTTAACTTTTGCGCGGTTCTAGGATAAAGTAAAATGAGGTGCATCCACTCAATGCACCATTTTTACCCAGATCTCTAGGAAGGATTCAAGACATTTTTAGTTGCCATCTTTTTACTGAGCAACGTAAAAAAAACAGCAAGTATTATGTATCACCAAATAAAAGAAGGGGCAAAAGAGACTTTGCACATGTAATTAAGGTGACTAATCAATTGACCTTAAAATAGGAAAGTGATCTGAGTGGGTCTAAGGCAAGTGCATACGCCCTTAGAAGCAGAGCCATCTCCCAGCCGCGGGCAGCCGTCAGAGAGGACGCATCTGAGCTGGTGGAGCCACGTGCAAGGATGAGAGATGCTCCAAGAGTTAAGGGGAGCCCTGGCCGACAGTCAGCAGGGGACCAGGCCCTCAGTCCTACAACAGTGAGGAGCTGAAATTCTGCCAACGACCTGAATGAGCTTGAAGTGGTTTCTTCCCCAGGGCCTGCAGACGGGCACGCAGCCTGGCCAGCAACTTGACTGGGGCCACACAGGACCCTAAGCAGGGAAGCCAGCCGAAGTGCGCTGTACCCGGACACCACCAAACGGCCATCTCCTGAGCCAGAACCCCGAGACACCCCCTGGCACCTATGCCCTCATTCCCCAGAGTCAGCCACCCACCAAGATGCAACCTTTGCACCTGGCCTTCGAGGCTCCAGGACCGACACCTGACCCGGGTCACAGGCCCAGCATAGGGAAGGGGAGCCATCTTCCCAAGGGAGCTGGGGGCCTCCTGCACACAGCAGGCCCTGGACACTCCCACCGTCCGAGAAAGGAGTCCTCAGGGCCCTTGAGAGCTGGGGACACACACAGGCCAAAGGGACAGGCGGGTCCTAGAAGTCCAGGAGGGGACAGGCGACATGGAGGGTAATAGGTCTGTGGGAGAAGGAGCCACAGTGACAGGCCAGCGCGGGCTGCCCCACTGCCCAGGGAGTCTCAAAGAGGAGAGACGTGCCTCAGCCCCAAGGCACCGCCACCCCGGGAGGAAGGAGGGCTGACACCCCGGCTCCCCACACTGCTCCCTCAGACTCGCCGTCGGTCAGAAGCGTCTATGTCCTGCTCTAACCCATTCTCCCACCCACTGCCCTGACCCAGGGTCGGCCAGAATCAGCGTGGAATCAGCCACAGTCAGGCAGCCACTCCCCAGCGCCCAGGCCTGGGACCCCTCACCACGAGAAGCACCAGAGTCCCATGGAGTGAGGGTGGGCCCTCTGGCCCTTGGTCACCAGCCCTGGGACAGCCTCCACGCGGAGGTCCAGGAAGCCCAGGCCACCAGCCCGGAGGCGCCCAGGCTCCCCGGCAGCCCCAGTTCTGAGTGCCTGGCTTCCTGTGTGAAACTCTGAACTTGGCACACAGCCTCGTGAGTTTCCACCAGCACAACCCACAACCCAAACCCGCTGCGTACCGGGAGCGCCGGGGGCCTCCTCGCCACCCCGGGAGGGGGCATGTCTGCCCGGTGCTGTCTTCAGAGGGAGGCACGGGTGTGGAAGGGAGGGGGTGCCGGGAGGCCGGCTCTGCAGGAGAAACGCCGGCGGGAACGGAGGTCACCTCGGCCAGAGATTTTCAAACTTAACTATTTTTGTTACTTTTTAAGCTACAGGAGCCTTTGCTCACAGCAGCCCTGACCCAGAAGCCAGCAGGGCGGCGGGCAGAGCAGTCGCCTGTCTTCAGTGGCTCAGGGACGGGGCTCAGGAGGCGCACGCGGGAGAAGGACAATGGCTGACCCGGCCGCCTCCAGACTCCACAGAACATCAGACTCTCTCGGGGGGGCCCTTCCAAATAACGCATGGAGACGGGTCTGCAGGACTGTGACAGGCCCAGAAACACAGTTTAAGAGCCCACAACAGGCAGTTTAAAGGGACCCCCCCCCCGCCTCAACATGGGCCAAATCTGGAACAATCTAAGTGCCAAAATAAATAACAGTAATGGGTTTTAGCTCACTGAATAAAATAAGAAGGCCTGAGTCCACTGTAACATGGATAAATAAATGGATAAACAAACAAATGGGGGAGAAGAGAAAGTTCTCTACAGCACAAGGTCAAGTGACAAACGCAGTAGTTAGTCGAATTAAATCATCGCCATTCGCAACTTCGAGAGAAACAACTGCCTGCTAAGGACCATGGGTGGGTCCTGCCCCCATCTGCTGGACACCACAGGCTGGGACACTCACTCCAAGAGCGGACATTTACATCTCCCAGCCCTGGAGGCCGGGAGGCTGAGCAGGGCGCCCCCATGGTAGGCAAGGGCCCTCCTCCTGGTCCTCGGCTGGCACCTCTCACTGTGCCCACACATGGCGGGAGGGGTGGGGGGCTCTGCGGGGTCTTATTAGGGCGCTCATCCTAGTCACCAGGGCTCCACCCTCGTGGACTCACCTCCAGGCACCGTCGGATCAGCATTCGGATTTCAATGTACGAAATTGGGGACGCAACATTCAGACCATAACGGGTCCTAAAACTGGCTGATGTAAGTTGGAGGACAGAGCATGCTCACCTGGGCTGGAGCCTCCCCCACAAACAGCACACGGAAACTCAGGGTGAGAACAGTAGACACCTCCGTAACCCGGGGAGCACTGCTGCCACGGCCAGAATGAGTCAAGGTCCCAGGGGCCCTCCCGGGGTTGCGGGAGGAGACCTCACTACTGTGGCATGCCCGCCAAACAGGCCCATCCTGAACCCAGTTGCAGGCGGATGGAAGCAGCCCAGAGCAAGAGAGAGTCCACAGAATCAGTGGTCTCAAGGTGGAGTCTGTGGCCATTTTCCTTTGGGGAAAAAAAAAAAAAGGAACGAAAACACTGGGACAACAAACAGGCCTGGGTCCCAAACAGAGGTTCAGAGAATGACTCAGCAGGCCCCAGGGAGGCCACCCCGGGGAGGCCCCGGCCCACCCTCAAGGCAGGGCAGTGACCCGCAGCTGCAAGCCCAGCTGCTCAGAAAGCTGGGCCAAAGGAGGCCTGGCACCTTCCTGGCTCCCCAGTAGCTGAGGGCGGAGCTCGGCTCGGGGGCCAGGGGCCCTGGGCATCACGTGGGCCTGTTTCTGGAGACAGAGGTCGACGTGGAGCGTCCACATCCAGCAGCTGCAGCGCACAAGACGTGGTGCCTCTGGGCCCAGTTTACAGTGACATCTCCAACGGGGACAAGGCCCAGGAGGCCAGGTGCTGTCTCGTCCAGACCTCAGGAGGGGTGGATGGGGCCCTGTCCACTCAGACCCTCGACCGAAGGCTGGAGGCCAAGCGCTCCCTAGATTGGCAAGACTGAAGACAATCCACAGGGCAATCCAGCAGCAGACTCGCTCTGCAGTCCCTCGGGGTAAACAGCTTTTGTTGCAGGAGACAAACACCACAGGACCTGCGTCCACACCTGCTTCGTGCGAGCGAGGAGGCGGCCGGGGAGGCCAAGAGCTCAGAGCGAGACCCACGCCAGCTGGGGACTCAGCTCCCTCTCCAAAGACAGAGTTGGGCGGGTGCGAGAGAGCAGGAAGTGGGTACAGGAAGGAGGGGGAGGAGGGAAGCTGGTCAGGAAGCACCCACAGAGCAGACATCTACACGTGGACGCCCAACAGTCTGGAAGGGATGGCTGTGCCCGGAGCCGGGGACACGACACCGCAACCCAGCGTGGCAGCGGGCAGCAGTGTCACGCACAACGGACGCTCCAATGAGGGTTATCGACAGAGCTCTGTCCACTGGGCCCAGACACACACACACAGCAAGCTGCCCCTGCGGGGCTGGCAAGTCACGCTGCAGGCCGCTCCCAAACGCCGCAGATGTTCTGAGTGATAAGCGAGCAAAACACTCTGGGGAGAAATAAACTGCTCCCACAGCTGCGTCTTCAGCGGCCGTTCCGGGAGCTGCTCCAGCTAGATGCAAGATTCGACCTCGTGTCTAATGTAGACCCGAAATGTCCCCGTTGTAGGGGCTGCCTACCCACACCTCCCTCCCCCACCACAAAGAAACTATGTAAGAGAATGCAGAGTTGCACACGTTTACTCCTTTTCCTCCCCTTCTCCATGCCTGGAAGGCACAAAGAGTGCTGCTCTAAGACACTAAAAATCTTTGTATGCAAAGTTGCAGGGTCCCATACAATACAGTGTTTTAACACAGACAACCCACCCTGCTCCAAGGACAGCCGCTCCAAGGACGGCCGGGGTGCGTTCTCCACCCTGCCAGGCGGGGCTCCCGGCCTCCTCCGAGCCACGCAAACAGCCCGGGAGGAGAGGTTCAGAGAGCGGACAAAACAAACAAACAAATAAACAGACATGCCCAGGGAGGGACGCCTGCCGGAGAAAAGTAAGTAAAAGGAAGTGCATTGAAAACATCAAGAGAAAAGCAGCACGGGGCTGGGGAGAGGCAGAGAGGAACAGCTTTTTTTTAAAATGCAAATCAATGGTGGGAAACTGCTGAAAAAGGCACAGGGGAAAGGAATCTGGAAAGTCAGGTCAGTCCCTACAGCAGTGGCCCCCCAGGGCTGCAGCCAAGCCAGGAGCCCCGTCTCCCCGAGCCAGCGCAGGGGCTCACCCAGGCCTGGGCACGAGCTCCTTCCCCGCAGGCACCTCCCCATCCACCAGAGAGCTGGGGCGGGCAGGAATCCCAGCTAAGTCAGGAGACTTCTTCCACTACCAGAAATAAATGTATAGCTCTCCTTCTCGACCATTTATTTGAACTTTGACACATCAAAACAACTCTATACAGAACGCCTTGCTTCTGCAGAAAGCAAACAAGGTTGACAAGCTGAGTCTCATCCTGTCGTCCAGCCGGGCTGGGCGGGGCGAGCGGCGCCAGATGGCCAGGAGGCTCTGGCCGCCCAACCACAAAGGGCTCCGATTACCCCCTCGGCTCTGTGCCCCAAAGACGACCTCGCTGGTAGGCTCGGGGGAGGCGCCCGCAGCTGCCAGCCCAGGCGGCTCTCTCGGTCCCCGGGCCCACCTCCGGGACACCCCAGCGCCCAGGCTACCTGCTGTGAACGCACGCCCAGCGGGCTGCCAGACTCGTAGAAGTCAACGACTCTAAGAAGGGCCAGAGGGCAAGACTGCACAACCACAACACAGGCGGAGGGAGGGGAGGGGAGGGGAGGGGGGGAAGGGAAGGGAGGGGAGGGGAGGGGGAGGGGGGAGAGGAGGGGAGGGGAGGGATGGGGCGGGGTGGGGCTTCTCCAACTTGAAAGTCCTGCACATCACCTGGGAATCCCGTTAAATGCAGGCTGATTCAGCAAGTGTGGGTAAGATCCCCCCACACCGAGAGTCTGCATCTTAACAAGCTCCCGGTGAGGCCAGTGAGGATGTAAGATGCCCAGACACAACAGATGCAACAACACTGAGGGAAGAAACCACCACGAAGGCAAGTCACGGGAGGAATGCCCATCTTCACTGCGTGTCCGTTTCCAGGGACATGAGCTGCTCTCGTAGAGGAACGCCTTAATTCTGGCATCTGTTGGGTATTTTACTGCATCCCCCTGCATCCTCACAGGTTATTTTTATTCCCATCTCACAGCTGGGAAGCTGGTCTCCCTGCCCCTGGGGTATTGTCCAGGCCTCGGGTGAGGTCCAGGCCTCAGGTGACACACGCACGGCAGCAGCACAGCCCAGCAGTGGCACGGAGGCTGATCCCGGAGGCCGACAATAGGAGGAAAGCCCCTGGCACGGGAGGCCCAGGGCAGAGGCTGGCAGGGAAAGGCAGATAACGACCCAAAAGGGATGCCACCGAACAGATGGTTTTGCCCCCTGGAATCACAACAAAATAGAGACCAAATGTAAACCCAGGCCCCAGAGGAGGAAAGGCGACAGGCAGGCACAGCGGCTCCAGGCACCCCTTTGTTTTTACTTAGCCTGGCCTCACCCTGGGAGAGAGCTTTCCTCTCCTTGCCGCAGACTCAATTTCACCCGAGAAGGAAGGCGTCAGATCCAAGAGAAGGGGGCACGGCCCTGAGCACCACAGAGTGCGTCCACGTTGGCGTCGGGTGGCGGGTGTCCAGGGGCAACCAGACATTGTGCAGGCGACCACTGCCACCAAGGCCTCAAGGGCCTGAGGGAGACCTGCCCCAAGGAGAGACCCCATTAGTCCCGTCTTGTCACATTCCTTCCAAAACGTGTTCTGAGTTGGCAACAGAGGTCCAGGGCAGGGACCGACCAGGGAGGCGTCAGCGTCGCAGGACTCAGTCACAGCTGAGAACGTTCCAGAGTCCACCTGAGCGACCCGCCATCGCAGAGACCCCGCCCACGGAAGTGAAGCGCCAGGGCTGCCTCCCCAGCCAGCCTGGAGCACGGAGCGCCTCCATCGCGCCCCTTCCCAACCTCAAGGCCCGGCGGTGCCACAAGCAGCACTCGTGTCAGCGCACCTGCCCGGGAACTCAGCTCTCTGAGTCCCCCACAACGTGCACTGGAACAGGGACACTCACGGGCGGCCCTGTCAGGGGACTGGCCTCCTCATCAGTGACTCGGCTGATGAGTCAGTAAGACGGACGGAGTTTTAAAGGGTGAAAGAAAACACTAAATGCAAAAACAGTAGTGAGCACTCGGGGAGTCCTCACACGCACGACTCGATGTCAAAGGCAGGGGCCAGGGGCAGAGCCGCACCTCCAGGCAGAGGCCAGGGAGCGGCCTCACGGGGTGACACCAGACCCCAGGAAGCTCATTTTGCCCCAAAACTGGGGGAGAAGCGAGGCATTGAGACGTCAAGGGGCGGGAGACGGAGAACAATCCCCACAACCACAGGCTGAAAGCAGCAGCTGCCGTTTGTGCCCACCCACTGCCGCCCACTCAGAGCCCTGTGCACCCGGCCATGGGGAAGGACCGGCCGGACAGCGGTCGCTCTCGGCGGAGGGGCCACTAGTGGCCGGGGGCCAGCACTCCTGAGGCGCCCCGAGCACACTCTCCCCTCCCCACTCCTCTCCACTCCCTCGGGAGCCACACACAGGTGAGACCTCTCATTCCCACTGTACAAGTCACCATTGTTATGATCCCGTAAGAGGGCGACACCCTCTCCAACAGAGAGAAATAGCACCGCTGGGGAGATGGGGGACTGGGGGTGCAGAGGGCTGGGGGTACAAGGGGAGCTGGAGGCTCAGCGGGGGTACTAGGGGTACAGTGAGGGGGCTGGGGGTGCAGCCCGGGATGGGGGGCTCAGCAAGGGGGAGGCTGGGGGCTCAGCATGGGGGGGCTGGGGCTCAGCAGAGGGTCTGGGGGCACAGCGCGGGGCTGGGGTACAGTGGGGGCCCACAGGCCTTGGGCTCAGTGGGAAGCCTCCTGCCGTAGGGCTCCACTGGTGCCGCCCGAGATGCAGCAGCCCAAGATACAGCAGCCAGGGTGCAGAACAAAGGAGCGGCAGCAGCTCGGGCAGCGGGGGAGGCACAGGCTGCCGCCAGCAAGCAGGCTTTTCTGCAGCTGAGCGCTGGAGTGAGGACAGGGCACGCTGGGCCGAGCACGCAGGCACAAAGGACAGGGGGCCTGCAGGACAGCCACCCAGGCACGTGCCTGGCCCCCACCCAAGGGTGCAGCTGGGCGGAGGGCGCAGGCAGACCCACTCCAGAGGCGGCTGGCAGGTGGCTGACAAGAAAAGCGCCGGGCCCAGCTGCTCAGAACTCCTACCCAGGGGCTTCCAGGCACAGCAATGGACTTGAGAGGAGAGGGGGAATCTTCACAGAGGTGCCCACAAGGGCACGCCCCTTGTGACCTCCAGGGATGGGGACCCAGGCTTGGCAGCTCACTCAGCACCAGAGAACACAGAGGCCCTGGAATGGCCGAGGTCGGTGCACCAAAGGGCCTCTATCAAGCACAATGGGCTCCCGCTGCCCGCAACAATGGAGCACTGGCCACCCCCGCTGGCTCCTCTCCCCTCAGGAAAGGCCACAAAGGGAGGCAGCAGGAAACCAGGGCAGAGCCCATGAATGGCTCCACTGTCAGCTCAGGCCCCACCTCCTCAGCCCCACAGGTCAGCCCGCCCTGCCACCCTCCAGCCACAATGGCGACCTCTGTGCTGGGGCCCGGCCCACACAGCAGAGCCTGGGAGGCTCAGGGCTCATGGGGCAACTGGAGCTGCAGGGGCCACAGAGGCGGGGCCGGCATAGGACTCACACCGGCCAGCTCAGGGCCACACCTGCCACCTTGCCATTTAGAGGCTATGTGCCAGCCAGCCTTAACATAACATCTCCTGCCTCCTTCCACGGAGGGGAGGGTCAGGGTCATCTCAGAGGCACAAGGGGGCCACAGGACGGAAAACAGCCAGGACTCCAGGGAGGATCCCCAGAGAAGGCTCCAACATGCACCCTCCATCCCCCACCATCCCAGGAAGGAAGACTCGTGCGAGCTCAGGCCCTGCAAATGCTCTCAAAGGAGGCCGCCTGCTCAC